CTCAATAGCCTCCTGTCCAGTATACCATTACGTTGCATGACTTGTCGTGCTGGACAGGGGGCCATACGCCATATTAAGACTCATTTTCAGTTTTTATCACCATGTGGATTTTGGAAATTCCTGCACTGTAAGCTTTTTATACTACATTTAGCTAAAACCTGTCCATTAATTTTTCAAAAATTCAACATAATGTGCAAAATCTCTTAATTTAGCACACGAGTGTACTAGGATGTATTCGCAAAACATAGAATTTAATCATTTTGATCTTTTATAGTAAATTAAAAATTACAAAGTATATGACAGTTTATATATGCATATGTATTATGAAATGTAACATAAGGAATTCTTAAAATACACATAAACATACACATGCACATATTTTAAAATCTAAAGGTAGTATATGATATATCACTCTATCGAGTATGTGCCAAAGATTCTAAATTAAACTTTAGTTGAAACATAAACAAAAGGTTTTATAGAAAAGATGGAGAGCTAGCTTACATTAAACTTACAAATTTGGAATTAAAGCTGTTTTGTAAGTAGTTTACTTATGCTACAAATGCAAATAAGATATAAAATCAAGCATATAATATATTACCACATGTAAATAACTTTTGTTTGCACACTCACCACAATGTTAACAGAGATAATATATTTACCATTTACAATATAATGTCAAATACTCAGTAGTGTTTTGTTCTTTACAGGCATGTTAAACATTTTTTAAAGTGTTGTTATATACAATAAAAATGTGCTAAGTAGCAAATATTAATTGCACAAATATTTTACCATATGAACTTATTTATGAGTTTTTAAATGATACAACTAAACATATATCTTGCTCTACATAATAAACAACTAAATTTATTAAATGTTCTCCTGAGGACTATGTTTCAAGAAGATACAGATTTCTGCATATGAATATAGCAAATTATTTTCAGAATTCAATAAACATGGCTGAATACTCAGTACATTAAAAAATAACAAGATATGTCACAAAATAGTTTCACATCCTATCACTAAATATCTATTGCATTTTTATTAATAAATTTTCAAAATGATTTTTAAAGGAAGGACACAGAATTAATAATAAAGACCACAGTATGCTGACTGTAAAAACAGCAATTTCAAGCAGCAATAAGCAGTATCTTGAATGCAGCTCAAGCATTCAAAATACTGTACATGTATAATACATAATACCATACAAAGTATTTAAATAAGTATATTAATTTCAACCTTTTTGCCAAGGATTCCATTAAGAAATAAATTATATATCATAAGCTCAATTTTACTTCAGTTTTGGGACTTCAAGCTGAAAATTAAGCTATGTAATGTTAAAAAAAGAAAAAAGCACAAGGAACTAGAATTCTTCGAAAGTGTTAAATGTTATTAGTACGTATGAACATGTGTTTTTGCACACACTGACATTATACATTATACATATGTATGCAACTGTAATGTAATATAAGTAATTAAAATATTGGATCAAAAAGATAAGATTACTAAAGAAAACTACATAATTCATAGAAGCTATTCCAAAGCCACTCTAATCTGGAAAAAGACAATTTTTGACAGGAAAAGAAAATCTGCTTGAGGCATAATATTATTGTATCAAACAATTAATATGTATAGTTGAGATTTTTTTTAAGCTGAAGTGTAAGATTATAATTTCAAATAATTAATATAATATACTTAGTTACATTTTGTTTCTTAAATTGTCCACAGAAATTTCTCAAAAACAAGCAGCCATACTTCTAAACAATTTTGAATTTTGGCGAGATACACTGTACATACTATCAAAATACATGCTGCTGTATTTGTTCGCAAAAAGCAGAGATCAATTATTAATGTTACAGACTTGAATGAAATGTATTTGTTCTGAAAATGGTAAAATTCTACATTCATTTCCCTATTTCAGTTTTTCAATTCAACAATTATTTAATATTTCTAAATATAATATTCCATTGAATAATTTATCATCAGATACATCACTTCATCAAAATATTTTCTTGCAAAGTTCAAGCTCTCCTCGAATTTTTTTATAGTGTTTTCCAGCACAAATCAATTTAAATTTCTGCAAATGATTAGTTTCATTGTCTATTTTCAAAACTGCCAATTGCAGTTTGATTAGAAACCCAAAATTTCTTTCATAAATGGTTCTTTTTGTGGGCCATGCGTAAATATATATTCATGATGGTATGAAGTGAACTAATACAATTCATGTTAGCTAATCGCAAAATTTACAAATATTTGCAAAATCTGGAATATGTAGAGAGAAGACATTGCACTAAAGGCTGAAACTGTGGTACACAATTTATAATGTCTGATCTCTTTACTCTAGTACCTTGCCTCTAACCTAGATACCAAATAAGATACATTCGAGTATAAAAGCACACAGATTCTGCCTGGTATCATACAGTGCATTTGTCCTCAGATGTTATAGGCTTTAGATCCTGTGCATTTGTAAGCTGCTAAAGCTGGATTTCTTTGGTCTAAAGATCAACATTCTACAATTAAAAAGGATCAGCTTTCTACGAGAGGCAGCTACAAATAAACTATAATAACCTGAAACTCAAATTTTGCCTTAAGATCATTCATGGGAATACAAGAAGGTAAAGTGCTTTTGCACCATCATCAAAGACAAAAAAACAAAAAAATCTTGCCTAAGCAGAAAATCGAGTGATGAAAAACAACAGGCCTGAACCCATTACCTAAGCATCAGCTCTCTTCATTCCTGCACTGTGGTTTTTCTCTTCAAAAGTTAAAAATTGTGAGGCTTGAATAATGGTCAGTTCTAATCTTCACTTTCAGCAAACTGAGTTAGCATTTGAATTGCTCTGAATCCAGTTTCTAATTTATCTGCAGTAATTTTAGCTTCTTTAATTTTTTGTATGGAGTAAATGAAGTTTTCAAAAAATTTCTGGATCTTCTTATCTTGTATCCATTCCACAGCTTCAGTTAAATCTTGGAGGGGGGGGAATTTAATTTTTACTTTATTATTGCACTTATCTTTTGGGTTTTATCAAAATTTTCTTTCTTTGTATGCAGAGGTAAAAAAACTTTTTTTTTTAAATCAAACTCTGCATTAATGATAAATCTGGCAACCAAGCAGGCAAAGAAAATGTATCAACTTGATGCAGGCATTTCCAGAAAAACGTTCTAATATTTTGGGCCTATCTTACTGAAATGTGTTCACTGGAAGCTCTGCAAAGAGAAACAAGAAAATAAATAAGAAATAACTAAAATTTAAATGGCTCCATACAAGAAATCAGGATTTTTACATATATTGTCGAGCTGCTAGTGTCCCTCATATATCACTACTAAAAATGACCAAATAATTTACATGATGTTTCCCAGAATCATTGCATCAATAGTTAGGGCAGTGAAGTGCACCATAGCAAAGGCAAGGATGAAATGCTCACAATGAGGACTTAGCATTATTGGTCATAATATGGCCATTATTGTCTTCTAAATAGTACATGGAATTACCACTACAGACTATATGGTTTCAGTACAAGAATTCCATATTTCTTGTCCATGATATCACTCCAAATGAAAAATTCAATACTGGTTGTCGCAGCTGGAACATCTAATGGATGGAGAACACTAAATATTTTACTTAATCATCTTCCAAACAGTACATGAATTTATCTCTATTGACTATATGGTTTTAGTACACAGTATTCCATACTTCTCATCAATGACATCACTGCAAATGAAAAATACGGCTGGTTGTCATGGCAGGAATACGTAATGGGTGCAGAACACCAAATACTTAATTAAGCATTTGTTCAGCCAAAGAAAGAATTCTGGAAAGAAGATTCCACTTGCATGGTGGACAGCAAAAGTGTTTATGGTATTCATATTTTGTTGGAAATCAAATTATCCTCTCACTGGTGGTCTATATGGTCTATCCAGAACACATTCAATACATATGCATATCATACAACCACTGCTTCCAACATCTAATAGCTAGATTAAAATAGTCAAAATGGTGGGTAATTCCTCGAAATGACCATCATGCTTTGATCAGTCTAATAATATGATTCATACATTACTCGGTCTAATGATTATATATGTCTTCAAATGCATTATAGAGGTATAACTAACAGTCAACGGTCTTTCAGCAAAAGAAACGAGTACATGAAATCAATTTTAAAAATCTTTTTACAAGAGAAGAGTCAAGACATTGTTACAACATCTAGTGGCATGAATGCAATGTCCAAATATACCACAACATAGTTGCCTGAAACAGAACTGCATGTTGTGTTTTGCAGCAATTATTATTTTGATGTTTTTTAAAACATTTTATTGCTTTATTTATTTATTATTATTATTATTATTTATTAATATATTTTTGTTTACTACAATGTTTATTTTTTCTAAAGGAAAAAAAAAAAATTCCTGAAATATAAATTTCTGATACTTTAAAAGATGGTAAACCATTTATTTATTAGTTTAGTATCCTTTAATTGATGTTTAACTAATGTGCAATTAGTAATAATAATTAATTTAGTTCAAAACAAGGCTCAAAATATGAAAATAAATTTTATCAAAAATGTATCAACATCAACTGCTCACCGACTGATATAAGTTACTTGTTAGTAATTTAAAAAATTCTACATTTCTAACTTCTTTTAAAATTTAGTTATGTTTATCTAGTAAGCTATTCTTATAAAAGTAACTTATTTTTTGAATAACTACCTTAAAAAATGGGTAATCAATAGTGAGAGGATGATAAGGAAAGATTAAGAAAACAAAAAAACAAAGGGCAAGTACTGCTGTAATTTAAAGAGGGGAAAAATATTAAATAAAAAATAATCAGATTCTAAATAAAATAATGAAGAAAAATCCTTTATATAATTTTTTTTCTTCTTTGAAGGATATTAGCAAAGGTAGATAGAGCCAGGCTAAGGTGTTTGAAAGATGAAAATTTCAGCACATAAGTATACCAAATCACCTCAGTAAAAGGTTAGAAGAGGGAAAATAACATAACTTACACCTGCCAAGACCTAATATCAGTAGATGAAAGCTGGGAACCCATTATGCCACCCCTAAAAGCAAAAACAGTGATGCTATTTATTGTTGGAACAAAAAGCTATGATTGTTCAAAACATAAGCAGGCAAAATAAAAAAGAATAACCAAATAAGAACAAACAAAAAAAGGTAACATAAAAAAACTCGTATCCAATATATTAATTTTTAATGACTTAAGTCAGACTTCAACAGATGATGTTAAGATAAATACATTAGCTTTGACAACAGAAAAAAAAAAAAAAAAAAAAACTGTCCTGAAAAAAATAATATACAGATTTTTTTTAATAATTTTTAATTTTTACTTGTTCATACAAAATGTATTTTAAAATAGTAACACTTCATTATGTTACTGAGCAAACAGTACAATAAGCATCAATATGTTTTTTGCTGTAATAGGTGCTGCAAATAATGCATTAATGCTCACTAGAAATTATAACTGTGAAAAGAAATTTTAAATATAATAAGGTACTTCATAGCATACAATTACAAGTTTAGTAGTCAAAAAATATTCAATAAAATAAATAAGGTATTTGTATGTTATTGATTTCACTGAAAGCACTTAGAAATTATTTTACTACTGGTTTTATACTCTTTTGCAATGCAACTAGCCTTTTTGTAGAATATCAGTTATATTATGTAAATACATTTCAGGTGCTATGGAGAATTATTTTTTAAATCTATTCTGTTTAACATTTTAAAAATTCACAATTATTTTCATATGAATCTAAGCGGTGCAAAACAATATTCTAATGATACTTTTACTGGAGTGGTCTTCAAACTGTGCTTTACAGAATACTAGAGTTCTCTACATCTCCTTTACAAATTTCACAAGTCAGAGTAAAAATTCAAAAAAATTTTTTCAACCTATATATTTAAAATAATTAATAATACATTTAAAATACATTAAAATACATTTAAAATAATTTTGAAAAACCACTATTTTACAGTGATTAGTAATTTTAATTTCTATGATCATTTTTAACTACGAAGTAAATGAGTACAATTAATTGCATTAAGATTTTCACATTTCGCACTAAGTATATGCAATACTGATACAGAGCAGAGCTTCAATTTGTAATTTCTGTGCATGTTTCATTCCTCATTTCTGGTCCTGAATGACTTTCCATACACACAAAATTACTTATTTCCACATCTACCATACCATCATTTGTTAAACCTTTTTCAACAAACATTTATAAACCTCATTCATGCATTTTCCAAATGGATCATTTGAAAAAACTTTTGAAGTAAAGGATATACTGATTATTTGCATTACCTTCTGTTTAACCTATAAATCAGGAAACCTAGTAATGTAATAATGCTTCACATCTGTTCCTATGCTCTGTGTCCACATTATTAGCATAACCTATAAATATGATTTTATTACAAGCTGCAATAATTTCTATCAGTTTTCTTGAATTTATTCTTGTTAGTTCCAGGAGATATTTAGTTTGAGTCTACGAACAGTACAAAGAAAAAAGATAAAAATAAACAAAAGATAACACTGAGCTTCTCTAAGATATACAGAACTTTACAAAAAGTTAAATTGTCTTTGTACAAAATGGAAATGTGTATACAATTGTAGAGACATTAGGTTATTTGGAAGCAACAGACTTGAAAAATGAGCAATGCCTTTGCCGGGAATCAAACCACGTACCTCTGGAATACGTGCCTAGTGTTGACCACGAAGGCACGTTCAGAAGGTGGGAAAAATACCTTATATATTCCCCCTTTTAAAAGGCAACTGGGTATTAGGGGACGCAGTCACCAAATCCTTGTGGCCGAGAAACATCATCCACCATCTTTTTTAGTTCGGGGGCCACTTGTAGAGACATTATGTACTTTTGGAAGCAGGCAAGATGAGAAATAAGCAACGCCATGGACTTCTGGAACCAGAAATTCCACCTTCTGAGCCAGAAATTCAACCATGGACTTCTGGAATACACACACAGCATGCAGACCACAACACCATGAAGGCATGCTAGGAAGGCAGGAGAAATACCTTATACAATAAAAAAATGTTTAAGTCTTGGGAAAAAAAAGTATAATTTAACCACAAAATAAGTTATAACTTCTTCGTGAAAAAACAGTTACTGAAATGAATTTACGATGAAATAAATAAACATTATTTACAATATATAAGTTATTGGTTTAATCATTTTTTAGTATTTTATATTTTTAATTCCATTTTCTTATAAACTGATAAATAAAAGGTTCCATTGTACTTTCAATGCTATTTTTTTCAATATTTGTTTTTCAAAGGATAGTAGGTGTTTCACAAAATAATATGGATGGGTTGAGAGATTTCTGAACTGACAAAGTTTGAAAAACCACTATTTTACGGTGATTAGTAATTAAATTAAGAATATTCAAATGCCACTATTTTTTTTTACAACATACAAGGCATTGTTTCCAAATAAATACATTTATTTCCTACTGAAGAAAATCAATTAGATATTTTCTTAAAATATGCGTTAAGAATTTATGATGTTAACCAGTTTTGATACTTATGTACAGGGTCTTTCATAACGAATGGGGCAAAAAGAATATCACAGTACAAATTCTGTAACTGATTTATTAAGTAAAAACAAATTAATTCTGAAACTACAATTATACAAGTTTTATCTGGCAACAGCAAAAACTCTTCCAGTTATGAAATCACTACTAGAGGCACTATTGATCAAAATGGTACCAATGAAAACAAAGAAAGTGTACACTGTTTTGGAATATGGAAAAACATTATAAGGTATTTTCTCCCTCCTTCCACCATGCCCTTATGGTCAACATGTATTCAAGAGGTCCAGGCTCAAGTCCTGACAAGGGATTCATTTTTCACGTTTACTTCTTTGGGGGGGGGCCTAATGACTCTACAATGCCGCCCAATCTAAATAGGTGATCGACAATAATTCGTCCAGAGAACCAGGTTTAGGTCCCAGTGAAAGCATTGCTAATTTTTTCAAAAAAAAAAAAAGAAAGAAAGAAAGAAAGAAAGAAAAAAGAAAAGAAAAAGAAAGAAAGAACAAACGACTCTATAACATCATCATTTGCCGTCATTCAAAAACATTTTTGCCTGAAATTTGGTAAAGAACAACCAAATTGTCAGAACATCAAATGGTGTGTGAAGCAGCTTCAGAACATAGGATGCTTTTTCTATGTGGGCATATTTCTGTGTGGGCTGTTTTCCTGTGAGCATTTGTCCTGTGGGCATTTTTCTAGTCACCCATGGAACTGTATACAATGCAGGCCATATAACCATATAACAAATTAAAACCTTATGACAAACTGTTATATAAAGCTTTCTGTGAGAATTTGCAAGATAAGCTACAGGTCGATGGCTTCATGAACAGACTGTGCTCATGGATGAAGCCACTTTTTTCATTCATGGCAATGTTGATCCCCATGAATTACAATTTGGGGGCATAGAAAATCCATGTGGTGTAATGGAACATGAACGTGATTCTCCACAAGTGAATGTTTTCTGTGCCATTTCCAACATTTGTGTTTAGGATTCTTTTATTTTTCCATTGAAAAATTGATTAACAGGTTCATTTACCAAGATATGCTATGAGAGTGGTTGTTCTCTCAGCTAGAGGAAGTGGTTCATGGAACATGAGCTTGATTCCCCACAGGTGAACATTTTCTGTGCCATTTCCAACAGTTGTCTTTTTGGATCTCTTCCCCCCAAGAAAAAATTAATTAATGAATGCATTTACCAAGATATGCTATCAGAGTGGTTGTTCTCTCAGTTAGAAGGAAGCGGTTCCCAGCTTCATTCAACAGCAAGACCAGCTCCACCACATTGGCATAAAAACGTATGCCAGTACCTGAATGATAGTCTAGTCCAGCACGGTCCAACCCACACCCCGCGAGCCACATGCGGCCCTCTTATTCATTTTGTTGGCCCTTCTTTACTGGGAAAAAAATTTTAGTTAAACATTTGGAAAAACAAAAAGACCCTTCTTACTGCTTTAAATAATAAATACAAAAAATTATTGTTGTAAATTTAATACCGGTAGGCAAAGCCCTGAGTCACAGAGGATTTATTGCATTTGTGGACAATTTGGATGCTGAGTATGGTGACATTCCATTGTACTGTCAAGTGCACTGGCTAAGTACTGGAAATTGTCTGCATTATTTTCTGACAGGTTTAATAACCCATCTAAATGCTTTAAACTTGAAACTACAAGGAAGAAAATAAAATATATCCCAGCTTTATGGAGACTTAAAGGCTTTCGCAAAAAAACGTAATGTAATGCCAATTGCACTGAAGGCAAATAATGTGGCGCACTTCCCATTTTGTCAGCAGCTGAAAGAAGAAAATGACACAAATTTTAGCATGTTTCATGAAATAACTACTGATATCAAGAAAGAGTTCCAAGACAGATTCCAGGATTTTGATTCCCTAAAAACAAAACTTTCATTGTTAAACAACCCCATAGAGATTGAAGTAAGTGAGGTGCCTTGCGACCTTCAAATAAAAATTTGTGATCTTCATGCAGATCCATCAACCGGACTAATAAGTGTGATGTCACTGAACATTTCTGGAAACTGATTTCTAAAGAATGTTTTCTCAAACTGATAATTTCTCTTTGCAAATGTTATCACTGTATGCAGTACATATGTGTGTTAAAGTGCTTTTTCTGCTCTCAAATAAATTAAATCAAAAACAAGAAATTGCGCTGAAAGTGCTTAATTGGAATTGAGCCTGAGACTTTGCCTTACTGAAATTACAGTGGACATTGATAAACATGTATCAAAAAGGCAGTGCCAATCATCATATTGATTTCTAGACTGTAAAATAAAGTGATATATTAAACTAGTGATTTATATGTAATTCATTTTCTTTCTTTAATGTCTCTGGCCCTCACTCTCCTATACTAATGTTTGACTGGCCCTCAGATAACTAAAGGTTGGATCATACTGGTCTAGCCCACCATCATGAATCAGCTGTGCTGGTTCAAACAATTATTGCTTTGTTAGCCACTGAGATCCCCAGATCCCTTTGTGATTTTTTCCT